CGGCCGCCGCGGGAACAGGTTGCCGGAGTAAATGGGTCGCTGGGTGCTCCTCTGTGACATTTCCTGGGAAGGCTGCTGGGTTCCTCGCCTTTAATCCGGTGAGAGCAAAGAGTGGGGGAGATTCTTGTTCATCCCACGGGCTCCCCTGTGAAATTGAAAGGTTGGAGGCCTTCGTTCTTTTCCACGGTTTTAAAAGGACAGGAGACAATAGCGTTTGTGGTGAAAGGTAGAGCATCCGAAGTATTTCTTAAGGAGAAGAACCAAGTTCCTATTCCAGTGGTGAACTGGTGGCGCTTTTATTATAAGCTCGCGTTTCATTTGTAACTGTAAACATACGATATTTCTCCAGTATTTTCTCTTCAGTCTCTATTTAAACCAGTCTGGGTGAATACTACCTTTCCTCTGTAATAAGCAGTTTACTCATGCACTAAATAAATAGATAAAGTAATTTAATTTGTTTAACACCGCAGATGAGTGGATGTTGGGAAGCTTGTAGCTATTTGGACTAGGTCATGGAGGACATGGGATATTCTATGCGCAGGACGTAAACAGACCACTGAAACTATCTCCTTTCTAAACTGTGAAGCTAGCATGGAGCATTCCAGAGGGGGAAGAAAAATGGAAGGGACTCTTCTCAACCCTGAGTTATTTGAGTTGGTCTTCAGGAAAATCTGAGGTATTGGAATACAGGTAGGCTAATACAGAGGCTTTTAGGATAAAACTTCGATCTCTGGAGTAGTCATCTGTTGCAGAAAATAACTTTGGGGAATATACCTAAAGAATAAATCTATTGTTTCTACTTTTATCATTTGTTCTACACTGTAACACTGATGTAAAAATTGGGCGCTAGACGTGATAATTGCGTTAACTTCAATGGAAACTAATGTTCTTGAATAGCTTTAGTATTTTCACAGCAGTGAAAAATTATCTAGGAAAGCACAGCGTAAGAGTCATCCATCAGTGGTATAGTTTTAGGAATCTGTTGTGACCCAAGGATTCTGAAACTGATTAAATGATCGGCATTTTGGTTCTGAAAGTGCATGTCATGACATTTTTGTCTGGTAAGGTTTTAAGTCTAATTAGACTGTACTAGAGGAGTTAGCTCAGAAATTCAGTGGCTCCAGCTAAGTAGGTGTGAACTAAGGAAAGTAAATGTTTTAAATAACACAAATACTTTCCATACTTAGGTTTGAGTATAGTTGCTGCTGTCTGCTTAGTGCGAATTGAGAAAGAGGTACTGCTCAGATGTCAAAGGCACCTGCCTCTAATGTGGAAGAAGGGGCAGCATGAGCATGTTTGCGTATGAAGCAACTCTTTTTGGTCTGAAACCTCAAATCAAGTTAGGATAGTTTTATGAACTCTGGTCTTCACATGAAACATTCTGGAAGAGTATACATTCAGCCCCTATGAGAAGCATGATGTTCTTAATTTTAAGTTAGAATCCCTTTGCTTTATTTTTCTGCCTGTAATAGTGTTTGTAGTCTTGTAACTGTCAGCTTTAAAAGTTGGACTGAGTTTTGCCAAATAGGTTATAGGTGTGCGTTTTGCTCTAATGGTTGTTTCATTGTCAGGAGCTAAGCTGAACCAGAATAGTCAAGGTGAATCAATGGTATCTGAAATTCTGGACACTTACAAGGAACTCAGTTCTGCAGTTGTGATGCATGTACCGAGTCTGCAGGAAACCAAAGTGAAAATTGTGTTTCCAGCTGCTGACTGTAGTTACTTGAATCCCTGGTTGGTGCTGTTAAGTGCTACCAGCTTTAGGGGACAGTAGCAGTAAAGTAAGGATGCTGGCAAGCTCTAGTTCATCTCAGCCATCACTTAGGGCCTAAAGCTTAGGATCTCTTCTCTGACGTTTATGGTCTTAAACATCATGAACATTATGGGTGCAGGAGATTGCTTTTACTGGATTTTTTTCTTTTTTCTTTCTTTGGTTTTTGAAGGAAAATCACCATTAAGGAAAGGGAAAACTAGTTGTGATTAAAAAAAGAATAGTAAGTGATATCTCTTGACACAAATACCCAGCAGGTAGAGACATACCATTATCTTAATAAAATGTTTTGTTTCATTAATAAGAAAATTCATTGTAAGCTATTTACTCTTTTTTGAAGTATATGTACTGTTCGTGTCTTAAATGTACAATGTTGTGATAAAAATGCAATTTTGGTGTATGTCTTCTGTGTACAGTATCACATCATGGACTAGAAATGGAGAGATATGCGTACTGTGTTGTTACTGTGAGATGTTACTGTAGGTTTACTCGAGTTTTTCCTATTAGCCTTTAATTGCACGTAACAAAAATCTACCCAAGTCAATGACTTGGGGTTGTTTTATACCATGCTATAGTGTGTTTAGCTGTTACCTATACTAGGTAAAAAAAGAAGACAAAACCTAGCATTAATGCCCCATTAATACTATTTGAAAGTATTATGCCATGCTTCATATATGTATATCTTTTCTAGTTCTAATCCAGACAATGTACTATGTTTCTGTAATGCCCAGTACAACTATTTTATATATATGCCTGTTTGTGTTAATCTATAAAATGGTAATTCTGTGTGTTATCACAGGAACAATGAGAGATTTGGTTACTAATTCTGCAGTATTTTAATCAGATAAAGTGCTAGGTAATTGCAGTTAACCCAATTGTGCACTTCTGATTTTGACTTGTTTCTCTTTGTAGCAGCTGAATAGAGAAGCTGAAGTTGGCTGTGTTTTCAGTGGGGAAGTAAAATATTCAAATGAATAAAATATTCAGGTTCAGATGAATGGTGAATACTGTATTTGCCCTTTGCATCTAGAAATGCATTTTAAAAAATTACTGTGGATATATTCCCCTATAGGGAAATGGATGTAAAAAAAAAAGCAACAAATTCATCTACAGGCAGTAGTTGACCATTTCCTTTTTTGTTTGCCTTATCTAGAGACAGGTTTGTATCTTTTCTTGTAACAATTGATGACCTTGCTGAGACATGAAGAAAAACAAGGAGCATGTAGTCAGGACTTCTGCTTAAAGAATTACTTATCAGCTGCTTTAAAGTGAAACAACAGTTCTTTGAACTTTGGTTTGTGTGGCATGAAGTCTTTAAGTTAGTATTTCAAAGTTCTTTCCTACAGTTCTTGCATATGGTACTAAATGGAGCAAAAATGCATTTGATGAAAGACCACAGTGGCTTTTCAGTGTTTGTGTGTGGTTTTTTGAATGCTGTCAAGGAGGAGCATTTAGAATGCCACACTCTTAAAAAGAGTTATTTTCAAGTACGTGCTGGGATGAAATATGTCAAAGGAAAACTATATATGAAGGAAAATTGTATGTTAAATTTTGCTAATGTACAGATTGTCGAAAGGTTGAAAGAGTTTTAACTGGAGTAGGAGTATTTTAAAGCTATTCAGCATTAAATTAGAGGAGGGAAAGCTTGAAAATAAATTCCTTTATGTAAAAATTGCTAGAGCTGGTGTCTAGTTTAGAGATACAGGTGTATTAAAAGGCTTATCTTTGTTGCTGTTTACTCTGTATTACAGATCTTTCATGAGGGAAGGTTCTGTGTCTTCTATATTTTGCAAGGGGATGACAACTGGAATACAAGGTTTCTAAGTTCTGTTTTGTAAAGTACATGTTGCTTTATGCTGAAATATGATATAGGTACTAGTTTGGAGTGGGTTTTAAAAGTTAGTTTTTCATATGATTTTTCTGGAAGTCAATTAGCATTATTTCTAAAATATGTGGTTAGTTGCTGTTAACACATCAGTGTTAGGGAAGAAGAAATAATAGAAGATGTAACATGGCACAAGCTGTAGCTCATCCAGGGTACAGTTCTGCTGTAGCTAAAGACAGTTTCTGTTTAGGCTGCCGGTGATAACTTGCAGCATTGCTGTCACCAGTGTGAATGTGAAATGGGCCAGTTTTAGTCCCAAGTTTAGTTGAAAACTAATCGCCTGTGAGGAACGGGTAACTATAATCTGGTTCACTTCCCAGAGTAGCTTGCTGCATGGTAACATAAGAGCCAGTGCTGCTGCAAGAGATGTCACCCTCTGTCATTGTGGGTGCGCTTGGGATCAGTGTAAGTGCAGGCTTACAGCTAAGGAAGAATGGTCTCACCCTCCATTGCCAACTTGGTTTTGGTGTCTTCCTGGTGTGCCAGTGTAAGCACTCGTGTAGTTGTGCAAGACTGATCTCACTGAATACATTACCTTAAAAAGAAAGAAAACAAATGGGTAAAAGGCAGGCAGCACAAGCATTCATTTTGGTGGCAGCTTGCTTTTGTTTGTTGTAGAAATGGTGGAATCGCACTCTGACATACTGTGTGTGCGTACCTGGAGTTGTGGAGCCTGTATCTGATGGATTGTTCTTTGTGCTATAGATGAACTGTTTTCTTCAGTTGTTTGTAATGGTATCTGAAAGACATCTTAAGAAATACTGTAACTGCGCAGTTCTTAAAAGTGCTATCAAAATATTTAAGAATCTTTAAAACATGTAATCACGCAATGTTAGTCCTGTCCTCAGATCTGTGAAAATGGACTTGGTTGTTTTGGGGTTTTTTTGTTTGGGTTTTTTTTGAATCCTCACTACCTCCTGTCTTTTTTTTGACCAGACATAGGACTCAGAATTTCCTATAGTCTTATGTCAGATACTTTAATCTTCTTAAATTACCTAATGTTGTTTTGGAAAACATGTTTGATAGATGTTTTCATATGCATTTGTCTGTTGATACATATATAAACCCACTTTAAGGTGTACAAGATAAACTTACCATGTTTAACTAAAGCTAGGTTTTAAATGCATGTAAACTTGTAAACTTGTTTGTTTTGCTTATATATGAGCCTTAAGTCTTGTTCCTTTCCTTCTGCTTATGACCTTGTGTAGTTGTCTTCTTGTAAAAGCTATGAAAATGCTTTGCTCAACTAATATCTTGATTTCTGAATGACTTTATTTTTAAATATATATGCACATATATATGTTAGATATATATAAAATCATTAGAGTCACAAAATGACCTTTATTCACAGGAATTTTCCCCCTTTTTTATGCATGAAGCTATCAACACAGTTGAGAGTTAATTTGTTTAGGGTTCATCTCTACATGGCCGATATCTGTGTAATTGCGCAAGTATGTTAAGGATATAATTTGAAGACTGGTTGCACAGGTGTGACTAGAGAATAATTTGGCTGGCAGATGTTGATGGTGTACTATAAAATTTTAGTCTGGCTTTGTGCTAGGTCAAGTATAATCATTAGAAAGGAAATTTTACAAATAAAAAGTATGCATTCCATAACAGAAGTTGGAAATAGGCATTCCTCTAAAACAGCACCTGTAAAGCAGCAATTTTAACAACACTTATGCATATTAAAGCCAGCTGCTGCCCTAAACAGCTTTATTTTAAAATCAGGTGTTCCACCTAAGGAAAAGCTGTTCCTTGTACAATCATAATTCTTCTGTGGATGTGCAGGTGCTCATCTACTAAAGAAGTTGAGTGTGGGGAAAAAAGATTATTTCATGAAGGTTGTTCCATAATAGGCATGTAAGGAAGTAGACTTAGGGTTGCCTGTGAAACTTTAGATTTTTTATTTCCTAATTTTTGAATGCTTGATCTTCCAACCTAATATATTTTTGTAACATTCCTTTAAAAGAAAAAGGCTAAAAAGTACTGAAGTTTACAGTTACGCTCTAGACAGTGAGTAATTGTTAGGAT